AAACAACAGAGGACCAGATATTATCCCTGTAACTGCTTTCCAACCCACAAGCTTCGTCAACTCTGCTATTACTTCGCTTATTCGGAGAGCGCTCCTCATTCCATCCTCCCAGGCATTAATTGATGAAGAATTACAAATCATCAAAAGAGCAATGCACAATGCCGGATATTCTAATTCCAAATATCGATATCTCTACAACCGGGTCATAAATAAATTATTTCCAAAATCTTTCCTCAGCAACAAAGAAAACCTAAAGATAATAAACCCTCCAATACCGTACTTGGGCACCATATCACTAAAAATAACGCGCATATTCAGGAAGCATGGTTTTATATTGCCTATAACCCCTCAACCGACACTACGAAGAACATTGTGCAACGACAGAGACATTCTCACCTTGAATGAAAAATCGGGGGTTTATATAATTCCATTAAAACATACAACATCAGGGGAGGAAATTATGTATATTGGAGCTACCAGCAGAATGATGCGGTCTCGTATCTTCGAACATCAAGAAGATATTAGAAACAACAGACCAGCTACAGAATTAGCGAAAAAGGTTCTAGACCAAAATTATCTTCCACTTTGGAACAACATTAAATTACTTAAGCATTGCAATGATCGTAGACAAATATTTATATGGGAAAACCTGTACATATCTGCTGTTTTGCCGTGCAACGCGCCGACGTTGGAAATACCACAGCTATGGATAACTTTATTTAAACAATCCAAGTTATAATTTTGTGATCTAATTTTATTCTACCACCATATACGGCACCATCAATCAATATTTATATGATTTGGGGAGTTCAAGTTATTACAGCAAGTTACTTTAAAAAAATATTTATTAATTCAATTTTATTAATTTGTTCTACATTCCGATCTCGTGCATTACGTAATTTGAAAAGTCCGTTAAAAGCTATCAATTCGAAAACAAAGGTATTCGATTTCGCCTGAAGACGACAGTCGTAAACTGTTGAAAGTACTAGCGAACATATCTGAAATTTAACAAATCGCTGTCAATAACACCGCAACACATAAGTGTCATAATTTTAATTTCTAAAGGCTGGGGTGAAGTGAACTATAATTTCATTCATGATGGAAAATTTTTCTGTATATAATGCATTTACAGTAATTTTAAATATAATTTATTTGCAATGTTTCAAAAAACAATGAAATACTATTATTTTCTTCTGTATTTTATAATGTAATATCTTAATTCTGTTTTAATAGAAATATCACTTATGAATATCAATTACAGACTATAATGGATTAAATGCTTTTTCAAATATATTTGAATCATATCTTGCTGATTCTAAATATATAAAAACAGTGATTCATAAGAAATCATCGATGATTATTATTTTCACTCAGGAAGAGTTACTGACAGAAATCAATTCCTATCATATATACAAATTTCAATAAGTTGTCATAAATTTAAGAAAATTTCCTAATGGCAATAATGATGGGTAATACAGTATATCCAGTGAAAGAATAAATGCACCATTTTATAATATTGATATTTCCTTTAATATTATAAAAATTTATGCAACATTATACACAAATTTAGATATTTTTACTTTCCTGGGTTTGATATATAACAGAGAGAAAGTATGATTTGTCAAAAAATGACTCCACCATGATTTTTATTTTTTTTGACTCAGGAGGCATTGAAATATCAAGAAATGTAAAAAAAATTGTAGTTTTTTCTCGTATGTATGTTATTTAGTGTGCTTGCGTGTGGGAGAGAGCACAATTTTGTTCACTGAAACTTAATAACTCATGCTTTTTGTTGAAAACTTCTGAAATTTTGCAGGCAGGTTTGTATATTAGGAAATTGATATTACAGTAGAGCCTCGAAAACTCGGCCTAATGTGGACCGAAGGGTGGCCGAGTTTGTGAAAATGCCGGGTTATCGGGAATGGGGTTAAAAAAAATAAGTATGAGTGTTTCCTCAGAAAATATTGTACTGTACTTATATGTATTGTTTACTTGAGAATACAACAGAGAATAAACTGCCCAAATACCCTTAAACAAAAGGAAAAGTATGTCTTTTATGAAGGCATAAAGCCTTTACTACATGAAAATGAAAATTAATGAATACACTGTACAGTAATTTACCTGATAAGACAGACCTCAGAAAAATACTTTATGAGGCATAAAGCTGTCTTTATCATGAAATTTAATTAACTAAGGATTTTTTTGCCCTGCCAGAGTGTGGCCGAGTTATCGAGTGCCGAGTTTTCGAGGCTCTACTGTATTAAATTTTGATAGTTAAAGGTCGAGGGAATGGGAAGATAAAGAGAGGGATCGCATGTCATATCTCAAGTAGAGTCAGGCTTAATGACAATTTTACTCATTATTAACATTTACAGTTTTTTTTTATAAAATCTGTCCCTAACTTCAAAAATTAAGCTTTTTATCATTTTATAAAAATTAAAAATATGAAAAGTTTTTTTAAAATAAAATAACAGATGGTGCTACCAGAATTTTATAAGTTGCCAGGAAAGTTAGGGGCCATCCATAAATTACATAAGGGTGATTTTGGACATTCTACACCCCCACCCACCCCTGTGTAAGAAACTAATATTTTCTTTGATCCCCCCTCCCCTTCCCTATCTTACATAATATTTCGGCATGATTTTAACAAAAAAAATTTTTTTATGAAACCCTAAAAATCTTAAATCCAAAATATGTAATTATTAATTAGTTAATTAATATGTATTATTATTATTATAAAAGACTATGTGAACAAATATAAAAAGTTAATGAATTCGAATGAACAATTTATTTTAACAACTTTATTTTTTAATTATTAACAATCTTTTCATTATTATCATCATTAATCAACATCATAATATTCATTTCTCTTTTAATTTTAATTTTCACAAAAGGATGAAAAAAAACTTGATTGACTAGCTAGTATATTTGTAAACAGAAACATCATACAAAACAAAACAATAGAGAAGAGAGAGAAACCACCACCTTTCTTCCATGATAAAGAAAACGTGTAGAGTGCGAGTCTGCGAGTGTTCTTAATAGAAACTGCCAAATTGAAACCAAATTCAAAACTCCACCACTCAATGAGATCAAAAAATAAAAATAAGAATACTATATTACGTAAGACAAGATCTATTATCCCTCTACCCGAGTAAGAAATCATAAGAAATCCTTGACCCCCACCCGCCTAAAAATACTTTACGTAATTTATGGACGACCCCTTAAGCAACACATTGCTGGATTTTTTTAATAAAGTTTTTTGAAACAAATTTATAGTTACAGATGTTAATATAGACAAAACTGTAAGGAAGGAAAAGAATTTAAAAGTCAGAAATAAATATAATAAAATATTTGCACATAAATATTTTTTCAGACAAATGATATAGAGATTTTAATTAAAATGTTTAAAGATTAATAATTTAAAAATAAATTTTAATATATAATTTATATAAATAAAAATGTAAATGTTTGTTTGTTCAAAATCTTAAATCTCTGAAAGTTCATAACAGATTGCTTTGAAATTTTGATACAACGTTGCACATTCGAATACATGCATGTTTTTATATTATATAGATGTCAAAATTCCTTCCCGTGGGGGAGAGGGACAAAATTAAGGCTTACCGTGAAGAACTCTGCTTCTATTATACTAATTTTAGATGCAGTTTTTTGCGTTTTAATAGGGTACATCAAGAGAATGTACACTAAGAAGGAATTTTTCAAAATTCCCCCCATGGGGATTGTTATACATTTATAATAGATACATTTTGAGCCACAACAATGCGTGGCAGGGTACAGCTAGTTTAAAATAACTTTAAAGAAAAAATGAATTCTATAAAATTACAATATATTAGAAATGCATTACTGATCAGGATGTTAATCCTGATCAGTAATGCATTTCTAATATATTGTAATTTTATAGAATTCCTGATCAGTTTATCCTGATCAGTAATGCATTTCTAATGTATTGAGGAAATCAACATTTAAATCCAATCAATGAAATTAAAATCAAAGTAGAAAATTGCTTATTTATCATTATGATGAAATTGTAAGTTTTTTTTACTTTGAATATATCAAATATTAGTAGTATTTCATATATTTCATACTTATTCCATTGCATTTGTTTTTAACATAACAAAACAACTTATAAAACCCAATACATTAAAATATAACATCAGGCTATATATTGTCTATAATCATAAATCACCGATAACTTTGATCCTAGAGGGAGGCATTGGGCACCATCTCATATTAAATTTATGTAAATCTTTTATTAAATTTAATACAAGATGGTGCCCAATGCCTCCCTCTAAGGTCAAATTTATCAGTAATTCATAATTATTATCACTGAAATACATCCTAATGTTATATGGCAGTTGATATAGCTTTAAAACAAATAATATTTTTCAAAATAAATGTGACCTTTACTTAAAATTAAAACAACTAAAGATTTAGTAATCATTGAAAAATAGACTACAGATTTACAAAATCTATACTTTAAAACTGTCCTAATTACAGTATATCAGCAATATAACAATGAAATAAATTTTATTGTAAATATTTTATTTAAGTTTTATATGTACAGTTTATATAGAATATTAAATTTATAGAATTAAATTTATAAAACTAAAAAAATAAAAAATGCTTTAGAATTTTCTGTCTGCTATAGCTTTTTTAATGTTAATAATTATATAGCAGAACAGACAATATATTGATTGTGTGACTACATGAATGTAAGCTATGGTTTTTAATAAATGTTCTCTAACAAATTAATATTATCTAATATTTAACTTTCTCTTAAACATCTTTTGTGTGATTTATTTAAAATTATCACAATTAAAAAATGTACATTATTTCAATAATAAATAAAATTAAAAATTTGATTTAGAAAATGTGTTAGTAGAATAAAGTTTTTATAATACTGTTATAACAATGTATGTAAAACAGTTTAAAAAAGTTTAGTGATTTATTAAATGATCAACAGAATAAAAAGAATTATATACCTTGGGCTATTTCTCTAAACTTTTCTTCAGCATCTTTTCCTTTATTTTTGTCCGGATGATATTTAACTGCTAGTTTTCTGAAAGCTTTTTTGATTTCTCGATCAGATGCAGTTCTTTTCACTCCAAGTATCTCATAATAATCTTTGTTAAGTGCAGCTGAAACATTATTTATGATGAAGAAGAGTCCAAGAACAATTAACAGTTTTTCAGAAATCATTATATCAAATTTTAGAAATTTCCTACAAAAATTAGAAAAACATTATTAATATATTTATTTATAATTAAAAAATATAAATAATATTACTAGTTTTCTGAAGTGCATTAAATTATTATTTTATAAAAACTAAAGAATATTGCTGATGTAAAAATTATATTTGTTAAAAATTATTATTTGTTTATTTGGAAGATACTTTCTCTTATAAGTATTTGCCTCAAAATATAAGATAAACTATTTTATTTTATTTTATTATTTGTCATCAATTCTTTCCATTATCTGAAGATTATGCTTTTTAATTTTCACTATCACAGGGAATAAACTGCTGAAAGTTTCAAATAAATATAAATACATTATATTCATAACAATTCATAATATGATTCTAAATGACAGAACTATTAATTTTATACAACTTATTGTTTTCATAAAAATAAAAATAAGCTTCAAAAGCAAGAAAACATAAGAATAAATGCAGAGAACTACACAAGAAATATCATTTTTTAAAACTTCTGTTTTGAAGATAAATGTTTATCTTAAAGTTAATTTGTAAGATTTATCTGTATAGTTTTTATTTATTTACATAAACAGATAAACCTATACAAATGAAAAAATGTAAAATTAAAATTGCAGATAGGTAAGCCATCTAACCACTCAAAATTTAATTGTATATGTTGGTAAACACAGATAATTGAATTTTGAATGTGCAAACAGCTTATTTCTTGCTTTCAGCTTTGTTAAATATTATATATATATAAAAATGGGCACGTATGTCCCTATATTTCACTTTTCCGCAAAAACTACACATTGCATGTGAATGGTGTTTGTATGTGGTAGTAGCCCCAAGTCTCCATTCATGCATAGGGGTGGTTGCGTCTCGATAGCTATAAGGGTGCGGGAGATATGAGGCTGAAAGTGGTTGAAAGTGGCTTTCTATTTCGAATGTTTTGTTCGAATTAAATTCAAACATTGGTTCGATTATAGAACGATTGTAAACGTTGAAGAAACGTTGAAAATAGTTCGTTTGACTAAACATAAAAATTCTCTAATTAGTCTGGAAACGGGGGACCTAATTCTTGCATTCTGTGAAAATGGGTAAGATTAGCTATAATGTAATTATCTTAATCTTCACTATCATTACTTTTTGCCCAGCGAAGCAGGTCCTTGCAGCTAGATTCTAGATTACTTAGAAAAACAGTCTTTTATAGGCCTATATATATATAAAACTATATTACATACAAATAAAAACCCAGCGAAGCGGGTCCTTGCAGCTAGTATAATAATATTTGCATTCATGTTGGTTCATCTTTATTAATGATCTTAGTTGTTTTATAGCCTCAAAAAGTTAAAATGCTAAAAATATTTTAATGATTGTTTTTGAAATTTTATTTTTAAAATTCATATATATATACTACATATATACACAAAGAATTTTAAAATAAAAGTGATATAAAATATTTGCATTTATATATATCAACAATTCTTAACCATGAATTTCTCATTCTTACACAAAATTTCAAAAAAATCATTAAAATATTTTTAGCATTTTAACTTTTTGAGGCTATAAAACAACTAAGATCATTAATAAAGATGAACCAACATGAATGCAATTATTATTATATAATATTTAACAAAGCTGAAAGCAAGAAATAAGCTGTTTGCACATTCAAAATTAAATTATCTGTGTTTACCAACATATACAATTATATATATATAATATATATTTCTCCCCATTGCCTTTTGTGCCAAATTATTATTATATAATCAGGCAAAAAATTTTTTTACTGTATTTAGATCAATTTCAGAATAAGGGAAATTTTCTTTATCTTGAATTAGTTGAGGACTTAAAAGCAGTTTTAATTAAATATTCAGTTTAATGAAATTTCCCCAAATTTTAATTTTTTAAAAATGAAATACATGTAATTTAAAGTGATAAACAACAAAACAGATTAAAAAAAAATCTATGCATGAAAACAATTGTTTGAAATGATAAATTTTTCTTTTTGTTTATATTTTGGGATTTTTAAATCACTACCATTTTCATCTGTTTAATGCTTTTATTCAGGCTTATTAATATAATTAACATAATAAACAGATAAAACAATCACTTTGCTACATTTGAATATGTAAATATATTTAAACAGAGGAGGAATTATGTGTGTCAACCTTTCAAAATACTTACCTTGAATTTAATTAAATAGCAATTGGCATTTCAAACTTAAAACTAGTTTATTGGCGAAATGCTATTTCTGATGTCATTGATACATAAAAAAATTTTTTTTTAAATGAAAAATTATATATAATTTTTAATGTACTTTTTTAATGTAATTTTTTTTTAATTTAATAATTTATAATTTTTATAAAATCAGTGAGAATTTTAAACAAATTTTATTTTAATTTTTATGATTTTCAAAAATCATTTATTTATTCCAATACTTCACTCTCAATTCTTTATTATAATATTGAAAAATAGAAGTTAATTTTAATTCCTTTTTAATGTATTATATACAGTATTCGAATATTTAAAGTTAGAACAGAATAAGACAATTAAGTGACCTGAATCAATAATAACCAGTTTAAATGGTATCATTACATGACAGTTGTGCATTTTAGCATGGAGCTTCATCCATATGCAATGATTTTTATGTAGATTTAGTCATTGAAATAATACACATCATTTCATCTTTATGACTTATTTAATATCAATTTTTCAAAAATCACAAGGACGTTTCTAATTTAAGTGAATAAATTCCAATATATGTTGAAAACAATTCGAAATAACAATTAATAAAACGATTAGGTTAAAATGTAAGTTAAAACTTACCAAATATCTTCGTAAACAACTTTTTATTCAATAGAAGAAGGGTCTATTACCACATGCTACGAACAGATATGAAACTGAATAAAATCACGTTTTTACCATGTACATTTCACCTAAAGACACGAAATTCAATTCTATTGGTTATAAAAACTCACGTGACTTATACGTTTACTTGCATATTAATGCACGGACGAAATATACTTTTCCTGCCTGAATTTATTTAGTAACAAGAAAATTCATTGGTCGGTTAGGCTCGAGGGTTTACAAGTTTCGTTGTATGATCACATGATAGTTGTCAGTAAACAAACGGGAGTAAAATGGCGGATGATATTTTGCCTCTCTTGGGCAGGCAGGATGATAATTATAATACTTCTGATGGTATATATCTAATCATATAATGATCATTTAGTTATTCATTTATTTATTTTCTTACTTTATACAGGATTATTAATTTATGTACGAGTGACGGGTTTATAGAAACGTTTTAATTAGATTTTTAAAAGCCAAGACGTACTTACCACGATTGAGTTCACTGATTTGATTTTGTGACTGCGTTGATTTAATATTGGATTATTGTTAAATTGTCTTTAATAACTTTTAATTTGTAGTTATGAATTAAGAGTAATTGTTGTTACAGTTTCATTTATGTGAATTTTTGCTTTTTTATTTTTAGAAGTGTAGAAATATTCAAAATAAGTACTAAAAGTCATATCTAATAATTGTATTTAACATGGAATTAAGTAAATTTTCTTAGTTTTATTTATAATTTAAACTTGTCGAGGATCTTATGAAATATCATGCCTTAGAGATGTGAACATTTATATATTTTATGTAACGAGAAAGAATTAATTTATATAAACACACCTATTGAATTTGTTTTGGTTTCACAATTTAAATGGATGATTAGTGTTCTTTTAAAGGAAGTTTCATTTTTATTTTTATATTATTCTATTACGGATAATCAGAAACATTTTATTCCAAGATTGAGAATTTTATAAAAATAACACTTAAAATTTATATATTTATTAATATGAGATTTTATCATCATTAAGTTAATTTATTTAAAAATTAAGTTCTATTGACTAATACATTTTTAAGGTTTTTAATTAATTTATATATTTAAATGCTAAAAATAATTTATTATAGCCGCATTAATTTTTACTCTTACATATATGAAGGTAAATTAAAAAATAATAAAAAGATAAAATCGTAAATGTTTTTGAATTTATATTTTTGCAGTGTAACTTGCTTGTGATAAAAATTTATCTCAAATTAAATTTAGTGTAAAAATTATACTTGTTCAGTTTATGTTGTCGAATATTATTATGTATTTTACACTTGCTGCTTTAATATTATGAAAAATTTTAATAAAAATTTTTCATATGTAAAGTTGATGTAAACTTTTTCATTTATTTTGTGTAAATTGAGTAGAATCTTGTAAAAATTATTATATATTTCTTCAAATTATATGATGTTATCTTATTAAAATAGTTTTGTTAGGTCCAGGCATTAAGACATTTTTATGGTTTGGAAATATAACTTTTCAATAATTCATTTAATATTCTCTTATATAAGATTTGACATACAATAATAAACAATTGATTATTTAAGAAAATATTATTTACAGATAATTTAAGGAATTTCCAGTGCTCAGAAAAGAATAAACTTCATTTCGGCTTTTGTTTTTAATTTGTTGTAATTATCACTTTATACTAAATGATTGAATTTTTTGTAAATACTAAGTAAATTGTTATTCATCCTATTGATAGAATAAAGTTGTTTAATTTGAAATAGATAAACATATATAACAACTCATGTATGAAATTATTCACCTAAAAACTTGCTTTTCCAAAGTTTAGAGCAGGGGTGCAAACCTGCGGGCTGCATGTAGCCCAAGGCAAGTTCCAATGCGGCCCAATAAACGTGTAAACAAAACTGACAGATTCTTCTATTTTATTTATTTATTTATTTCAATGGCACAAATTCAAAAAAGACGTTTCACAAAGTCGTAAACCTTTATACCTATTTTAATTTTGAATGGAAAGGAAATATTTTCAAATACCTGGAAATGTGTGAATGAAAAAGGTATATTAAATAAAGCTGAAGTTGTGACTCAAAGGAGTATAGACTCAAATTCGGGAAAAGGAGAGAAAGGCGAAAAGATAAAAAGTAGTAAGAAAGGTTAAATATACCTTCTGTTTTGCAAATATTCACCATTAATTTTCTGACTTTCTTTACTTCTTTATCTTGTGTCCTTTCTCTCCTTTCCTCGCTTTGGGTGTATAATCCTTTGAGTCCCAACTGCAGCTTTATTTAGTACTCCTTCCAGCGTTGCAAGATTTGGCTACTTTGCATCAAATTTTGCTACCCTTTTATTAGTTTGGCGTAAAAAATTTCATTTGACTCATTGGCTACTTTTTTGGGCTACATATTATTTATAAATATATTAGTTGAATAAGAATGCACTTTAAAATGGTGTTTCGTTATTTTTTATTAATTAGAGACCCAAATAAAACAAATATTTGTGTTTTTCAAATAAATTTTTGTTTGTCTCCTTTATAATAAATGAATTTATTTATTTCTAAGTAAAAATTGAAAGTGTCTGTAGAAGTAATTTTTTAAAATATCCTTTTTCGTGATAAAGTTTTAATACTTATTACTATAATCTAGACTTGTTAATCACAAATAGATTATATATACTTGTGGCCCAAAACGCCATGACTTCTTCCAATGTGGCCCAGAGGAACAAAAAGGTTGGACAACCCTG